GGGTGGACTTCGAGAGTTTCTAACCTCACCTCACTTCCGGTGTGCTCTCATGTGGTTGAAGATGTAATCACTCCGCTCCCTGTTCCCAGAGCTGCCATGACCCCTCTGTTCTTAGGGCCTCTCCCGAGAAACCATAAGCCCAAATAAACGTTTTCTCCTGTAAGTTGCTCTTGGTTCTGGTATTTTATTACAGTGACAAAACAGATACACTGTAAAAGAAACTACCTGTAGCTTCTTACAGTGTTCTACAAACATTTTGTATACAAGAAATACTATATATGAAAGTTAATGCTCTTAGGACTTTGGGGTAACACTAAGGCTGACAATATTATACATCTAAAATTAGTTATTGGAGAGGACTTGGGACATTTTCAACACAAAAAAATGATAAATATTTGAGCTGCTATGCCATTGTTCTAACTCATCGATTCTCAGCCTGTGGGTTATGACCCCTTTGGCAAACCTCTATATCCAAAAACATTTACATTATGATTCATAACAGTAGCAAAATTACAGTTATGAGTAGCCACGAAAATAATTGTATGAATGGGGTCACTAAAACATGAAGAACTGTATTAAAGAGGCACAGCATTAGGACGGTTGAGAACCACTGTTTTAACTAATTATTTCATGTTATACAAATGTGCTCAATCATCATATTTTATGTGCCTCATGAGTATATGAAATTTTTTTATTGATTTTTATTGAGCTCTACATTTTTTCCTGCTCCCCTCCCTGCCTCTCTCCTGCCCCCTTCAACCCTCCCTCAAAGTCCCCATGCTCCCAATTTACTCAGGAGATCTTCTCTTTTTCTACTTCCCATGTAGATTAGATCTATGTAAGTCTCTCTTAGGATCCTCACGTGCCACTTAAAATCGAGACTGTATCTGGGCCTGCTTGTAATTCTGACACTCACAAAGCAGAGCAAGGAAGGGTTTGCCACAAATCTAGAGCCAGTTTGGTCTACATAGTGAGTTTTAGGCCAGCTGGAGTGTTACTAGCAACAGTCATTTTCAAAAAGCCAAAAATAAGGAAAAACTAATAAATGCATTTTGTGATTAAATGAGATTAAGAGTCACTATGCAAGGGATTCATTGCCTGGCAGAATATCTTGTGTATAGAACATTTACACATGAGTGGGGCATACTGTATAGTGGTTGATAGTGTGTGTTTCTGTCAGTAATGCCTGGGGTAGTTGTATGGTCTGGTCTAAGAACCCAGACCGTTCCCACTGTCTCTTTCCTTATAAGAGAGGGATTCTAACACAGAAAAGTATCATAAAAATCATAGAAATTAATCAAGATGCTTGAATCATAGCAAACACTCAGTGACTACAGCTACTTTCTTCCGTAGAAGAAATTAAGCCTCATTTAAGAGACTGTTCATCAGGACTGTTTCTCATTTTAATATTTTTTTCCTCAAAATGTAGCACACTGTTTTTAAGAGTTTAAAAATTTATTCTATTTTCACGATTGATTAGCATTACTCAATATTTTGGAATATAATAGAAAAATATTCCGGGAATACCAAGGTGAGGATTTACCCAGATTCAAAAGCATGAACTTGATGAAAAGTCTGCTAGGTGTTTCTTTAAAACGTTGCCTGCCTCTTCACCCTTCCTTCACCAGCTTTTCTGTCGTTTGAGAATACATACGTGCTCTCCCACAGACAAGCACACTTTTAGAAACACTGTCTCCTCGGAGTTAGAATTATTTCCTTACTACATAGTCTGGACTTACCCTCCAATTTGTCTAATTTAATTTGTAACCAGACTGTCATCGAAGGAAGACCACTCATCAAATCATCACTTTGGTGTTACTCATCCTTTCAAACTATTTGAAACACTTCTTCCTTGGATTTATTGCAACTAAGAATAATTTTTAAATGATTTTTTTTTTGGCTCCATCAGTGAAAATCAACACCTGTTCATGTTGCTGAAGTTACCAACTGTGGGTCTCTGTGCTTGAGTGACTGCTCAAACTGTGGTCCAAGTTCTTGTTTTCATTGGAAAGAAACACTTGTGAGACAAAAATATGTAAGATGAAAAGTACTTTTTAGTCTTACGAAGGAAAGCTACAGTATGCTAATTGCTTCTAGAGTGTCTACATGCAAGATTGTATATTATTTATTTCTTTTACTGTATTTTTTTATACATGTTTGCCTGAATGTCTATATGCTACATATGTGCCTCATGACTGTGGAGTCCTGGATAGAACACGGGATGCCCTGAAACTGAAGTTGCAGAAGGCCGTAAACCCTTATGTGGATGCTGGGAATTGAACCTGGGTGCGCTGGAAGAGCCTCCAGTGTTCTTAACAACAGAGGCGTTGTCATTTCAGCTCCTGTGGATTGCATATTTTTGAAAGCAAAATCAGAGACAAGACTGTATGTCAACAGAACTGACACAAATGTCTGCATACAGGGATAATGGATTTTTTTATCGCAAGCCTTGACTTTTCCAGAACAGAAGATTAAGATCAAGAGGGATGTAAGGTTTGGGTAGAGTTCTCCAACTGTTTGATCACCTTCCATGCATCCCAGTGATAGGGTTGGGCCAAGGATGGGACAGGCTCAGGGGACTGAGCATGAAGCAGCTGCTCGGTGACTATTTACTCACGCAAACAGCCAAGTTGTTTCTCTCCCGCTACCCCACAGGTATTCTGGCAGAGGCCTGTCTTTTGCACCTCTTCTTTCCTGGGGGACTCTCCTCTCACTTTAGTGGGATAACACCACTGTTTGGTCACCGGATGCCTCAGAACAGCATTCCCCAGAATGCCTTTTCTACAGGTTAATTGCTATTCTCTGGCGGAAAAGAGCTGATGCTTGAGTGAATTTTGAAAATGCTGCACTGAACAAACAGATAAGATAATTTCCTGCAAGACTTCTCAGGGCCTTTCTTATGCTAATGTTAGGCGTTGGGTCTCCAAGAGAACATAAAGAACCTGGACTACGTTTTTCAGACTCACCTGACCGTGGGCAGTCTTGCACCAACTCTCTCCAACCCCAGCATCTGACTACAAATGAGGCTAAAATTATTATCTGACCAGGGGCAGGGGCATTTGCGTTTTAGTAAAGGATACTTATTTACGGAAGAGCATCCTTCATCTTGGGTTGTAAGATTTGGGGTTTTTGTTTGTTTGTTTTTCTTTTGTTTTTTTATCAGGTTTTTGTTTTATATGATTTTGTGTGCATCTAGCATACTCTGTTGACATTCACCCCCTCCCCCAACTGCCTTTTCTTGACCCCCCTCCCACTCGTGTGAATACTCACCCCCCTCTTTCCTTCATGGGATTTATTTTCTCCTGGTGTACGACAGGTCTTGTGCAGGTGGTCACACCTGCTGTGTGTCCAGGATTGCAGTGGCCACGCCCTATCCAGAAGGCAGCATCTTCTAAGTTTTATAGTACTCCTGCCTGTTATCTGGCTCTCACAGTGGAAACCTCCCACCTTTGGTGATGCTCCCTGGACCTCAGAGTAGGTGACATAGATGTCCCTTTTAGGGCTGAGCACCCAGTAGGCCTTTCCTCTCCATGCTTTGACAAGTTATGAGTCTCTGTGTTGACTATCGCCCACTGCCAAAAGAAACGTCTCTGGCTGCGGGTGAGGGCTGCACAAACATAAATAGTTAGAAGGCAGTCTACATGTCTATTTAACAAAATATCAGTAGCAGATTTCCTTGTGGGGCCCGTGAGCTTCCAGGCATAGGCTTTTGATCAAGTTTATAGTACTGAATATATATTCCCTCCAGCAGAGTTGACCTTAGGGAATGTAAGCCCTTATAATCAGAACATGTCACTTACCTCTGAGTTACCCTACACCTACCCCAGTGCCATGGATATTGTTCCTGGTTCATAGTGCAATGTCCAACTATGTTCATTAAATGGATCCACATAAAAACTTGCAAAGCTTGTTTGGCTTACTTTCTATGGGTAGAGTTGGAGCTACTATTGGCATCCACATCATTCTATCCACTTTTCAATCAATGATCTTGAAGTCCCGAGGCAAGGATTTCTATGAAAAAAAATGCAAGAAAAATTGATAATAAATTTTAAGAGAAATGTGTTATGATGGGCTTTTCATTCCATTGATACCTGAAGAAAGTTCAGTGTTTATTAGCTCTGTATAAACAGACAACAGATCAGACTGGAGAAGTAAATAATGGGGAAATTATATGGGAAAAAAAAAACCCTGAGATTTAGAAGGACTTTCCTAAAAGAAAATTGGAAATAAGAGAAGCAGCTGTCTTTGGGTGGAAAATAAATGAGATTTTTTTTGTGTGACACATAACCAAACTCACACCCGCTGAGAAGCCCTACATTTTCTGAAGGTGACTTTGAACTTGTGATCTCCCTGCCTTCTGCTCCAAAGTGCCATGGTTATAGGTGTGCGCCCCTATGATTCCTACACCTGCCTCCTCTGTGCTTTCAAAGTTTGATGAAGCATCAAGAAAAACCGGGCGACGCTTTTCTATGTATTTCATCGCCAACTTGGATAGCCCAGCAAAGACTGGGTTATGGGGGCACAACAGGGTTTGAGTTCTAAACGAAAAGGAAAAGCTAAGAGAAAACCAGATTCTTGGCAAGTCTGTATGCGAGTCTTCTGAGAATGAGACTATCTTTCCTTGCGAAACTACAGCATACCGCTTTCTTTATTTACTCCTACTTTGTATTATCCCGGGCTGTACAAAAAGAGAAGCATATGATTGTCTTTATTCAAACTTCTCTTGGGGTTATTTTTTCAATATTTATACATCAGTCACAAAAGATAACGGAAAGGTATTTGACAAGGTGCATACATCTCTATACACTGAAGAAAGCGATCTGAGAAACAGAAAGTATAGCAACTTCAGTGGTTTTAGAATCCTAACAAACCTCCATAACCAGGGACATCACTTGGCAAAATGAATCAACAGGAACCTGGGATGCATTATAGATTTCTTTAGTAACAGGGAGCTAGAAAAATAGCACTGGGGGAGGAGGAAATGTGGGAGCTAATCGCAAAAGAGCTGAGATCTACAAGGGATCTTCTGAAGGCAAGGCTGGAAATAGAAAGATGCAGATGTCTTCAGGTAGACTTTACTGCATCTCACAAAAGGATTTTCTAGGATTCTGAATAATCTTATGTCAATAAATTATTTTGATGGTCTCAACTGAACTTCTCACAGGCATCCCTGCTCTTGAGCCAAATATAGTGGCCTTGTTTATCTAAAAAAGAAAAAAAGCTCCAAGCTCTGAGATGACCAGAAGGCTTCGAATTGCACCTGCTTAATGGCATCGATGGGAATTTGCCCATTCCACGTCTAGGGAGAACTTGGTGCCTAGCAGCTTCCCTTGCTCAGGTAACACACCTGACTTTGTCCTTTGTTATAATGAGATTTTCTTATTAAAGAATAGAAGGGTTGTGAGATCCAGTAAGGGAGAAAGAAAATGAGTTGGGAAGAACATGACCAAATTTTAAAATTTGATTAATCTCTTCTGACATTTCTTTTCAACTTCCTATTAGTAAATATTTGTATATAATGGGTTTAATTTTGCTCTTTCCATACACATATACAGTGTATGTTAACCATACACATACCTTCCGTTATCCTCATTTGTCTTCTCGCCACATCCGCTGATCTGCGCCCTCTTCTCAGATCCTCCTCCTTTCCCGTCTCTGGAGGTGTATGTGACTTAACGGTTTTCATTAGGGTTGATCTTAGAAGTGTGAGTGAAAGGATTTTCACAGGAGCAGGGGCACCTCATCATTGGCGCATCACTGAAGAAATTCTATGCCTCCTCCAGCAACCATAAACTGCCTCTATATCTTCACAAAGGGCTGGGACCTTATGAATCTCTCCTCTCTCCCTGGCAGCATAGTGACAGGCCCTGTCTTGTCTAGGTCTTGTACAAAGAATCATAGAAGCTGTGAGTCCAAGAGTGCAGTGGCCAAGTCATGCCTGGGATGCAGCATTCCACAACACTCTGCCCTTTTATCTGCCCACCCCTTCTTCTGCAGTGCTCCCTGAGCTTTGGAGCGGATGGTATACATGCTCCACTCAGAGCTGAGCATCCAAGAGCAGTTCTTTTCAACACTATAGCTGGTTCAGAGTCTTTGAAGTTGATGCTGCTCACTGTAAAAAGAAGTCATTCTGACCGAAGCTAACAGTACCATAAATACATAAGGATAGACACAATTCTTTATAATGCAGTCTGAGGAATGTATCATATTCATTTAACAAAGCAACAGATGAAGCTTCCCTACCAGGACCCATGATGTTCCCAGTCACAGACTCTTGACAAGGTTTACAGGTTTTCATTGTCAGATATGAGTGGGCTTAAAATCAAAGTCAGGAAGTGATGGGTTATTCCTATAACACTTGCCACCACTGCCCCAGTGATGGTCTCCCTCAGATTTTCCTCAGCATCCAGGACAGAAGTACGCTGCAGGGCCCACAGTCATCATTTGGCATTTCTTAGGCAGCTATGATGGGCCAAGAAGTGATGTTAAAAATATAAAAGGGTGCTTCACCCTAAAGGAAAAGGAGAAATGGAAAAGGAGAGAGAGAGAGAGAGAGAGAGAGAGAGAGAGAGAGAGAGAGA